CAGCAGCAGCGCGTTGCTACAACCCAACGGGGCGGAGATGCGTGTTCAGGGGCTGAATTAACTGACCACGTCCCAGCAAACGGGCCTCGCCCTGGGGCTAGTTTCTAGCGCTGCCAAGATCCCATTGAACCCCCCCACACACACACTCCCCCACCAGGCACATGTCATCAGCCTCAGGCTGGCTGGCAGGAAGGTCGAGCCTGGCACAGGCGCCAAGGGGAAACAGCGGAAGTTTGCCAGAGACATCCAGGAACGTGACCCCGATTGCACTGGACACCCGCCACTCCCAGCGTGCCCCGGGGCGGAGATCGCATGTCAGATCCGAACACGTCAGATCCGAGGGCCTCCCTCAGCGTTCGAACGTGTCGCACGGCCCTGCTCCGACCCGCGCTGCTTCCCCACTCCCGCACTCACCTCCCGGTCCAGCCCCGTGGCAATCAAACTGATGATGCCTTTGTCACGGTCGATGGTGAACATCTGGGCTTGAGGTTGTGCGGGAATCTGCTCCTGGATGGTGTACACAGGCACCCCGTTGTAGGTGTTCACGCTGTCGTCTGCGTCTGTGGCCGTCACCCGCATCACGGAGGTCCCTGGACACAAGGTTACAGCAAGACTGTCCAGTTACACGGGAGACAGTTCTCCAGAACAATCCCGCCTGGGCCTGCCAAGGGGATCGGCGACGGTGCCTCAATCAACCACGAGGCATCTCCCGCCCCCACGTTGACCGATTCGTCTCTGCAGCCCCAGACAGAGGAGTAAAAGTGTAAGCGCCCGGACCAGGGTGTCAGCCCAGAGCCATCGATCTCACCGGGCGAGGGAAAGAATAACGCCCTAGGAGCCTCTCACAGGAAACCAGGCCGCCCAGTCTGCAGCCACATTTACTGCTACCGGATTAGCTCCCTGTTCTCTGCCGCCACCATCGCCGGTGTCTGCACCGAGCGCCGGCTCCCCGCCAGCCCCAGAGCCTTATGGGAAGGTAACTGGCAGTGTCCCCTGTAAGCCGGGCGCTTGTGTGGCCGCTCAGGAGAGAGTCCGATGCTGCCCAGCTGATTAGCAGGGCCCACGGCTGGGTTTGTGTTCCAGTGGGTGGTGCACATCCGCACATGCACATCCAATTATTCTGCACATGGATAAAAAAAAAACTACAGGGAGCCTTGGGTTCCCGTGGGTCCAACCCCACGATGCCGACTCTACTGCAGGATCGGGTGGGCTGGAAGGGGGAGGCAGAGCCTGCTCCAAGCCCAGCCATGGGCAATAGCAGCACGGTCGGGACAAGGCGCGTCTGTCACTGGACACAGATTTTAGCCCCTCTGGTGTTATTCTGGGATTTCAATTCTCCGCTGCAGAATTCTCCCAATACTAGCACGGCCCTCGCCTCTCCCGCCTGGGAGGGGAGCCTCCGACGCCGCATCTCAGCCAGTGTCTCGCAGGGTCTCCATGCACCCACCTGGCTTGGCTCCTTCTTCTACGGAGCCGGTGAAGACCTGCTGGGTGAACTCAGGCTTGTTGTCGTTCTGGTCGGTCACGGTGATGATGATTTCCATGGGCTCCTCCACGGGCTGCCCCTTGGCAGACACCGCGTGGGAAAAGATCTGCAAAGCCAACGCCCTGAGTAAGCCCCCGGAGGCCT